CGAGCTTCGCGAATCTATCCTGAATTTCTGGAATATTTTCTAATAACCATGAATACATATGATCCATACATAACTCTAATTTGTACAAATTATCCATCGTCTCTTTCGTAACATAAATCGATGCTTGAGAATCAAACAACTTGATTAGACTCATTCCATTAAAATTAACAATTTGTAACAATTTGTGATAAAGTCTCATCAATTTGTTTTTCCTTCTTGTCCGCGTCGAGGTAACTGTGAATATAATCTCTAGTTTTCACCAGCACTTTCCACGTAGTCATTGAAAAAGAAATCTCTGTTCCACGATTGTCCCCCAAGACAAACTCGACGCGCAAATTTTCATCCACGCGTACACAAATTTCAAGGAACTTGAAATAATTGCCGGCTATGGAGTATCTTCTACCCAAGATTCGTGCGTTGCGCGGTATCTGCAACTGCTTCTGCTGCGACTGGGGTTGCAACTGCTGAAACGTCCGTTTCATCGAAGTGGAGTATCTATAAAAAGAAATAACATACAGTATTTTTTTCTTCTTTCATAAAAGGAACTTTTTATTCTCTTCAAACTTTCTTTACTTACCCGTAATTTTTGCAATCGTTGTGAGATCCATTTTGATGTAGAAAATTATTGGTTTGATTTGACATTGCGAATATTATAATACTGAAGAACAACTGTGCAATAAAGTAAACTGTAGAATGCGCTACTCGCTGTACGCAATGTCAAAGCTTATATACAATTTCCCCTACCATTTATCCCCCTTCTTACACGTAAGATAACAATACAAGGAGCGTATACGCCCTTCCGCTTACAAATAAAAGTGAACACGCGCGCAACATGGGATTCGGAACATCAATGAAATTATATAACCGCTTTTATTTTTTCTCACTTCCCCTCTTCGCGATTTTATAATGCCCCCAAGGAAGGGTTTCGATCGAATTGTTTAAAATGTATCGCTTATCACACACACACACACACGCACACACACACGCGCGCACGCGCGCGCGCACGCACACATCATATGGACTCAATGTTAATTTACTCTGCAATACTGAATACACTTGATGTTGTATAGACATTATCAATTTAACGCGAACTGATTTTTCTAGATGATCGTGGAGGCATGCTAAATAGTCGTCAAAAGTTATATTTTTAATCGTTACGTTAGTCTTAATTCCTTTAATCTTTTTTACATCGTCTTCGTCCTGTACCTGAATCGCATACATTTTCGAGCGAAGACCCACAAACTCTGTCATGATTTTGCCCCCATTCTCGTCCTTTATTAATCCTAATACTTTATTATTCGCGATCGGAACAACGTACACGTTATTTCTGTCATAATTGGAAGTATCGTATCGGTGAATGTCACGTTTTATCATCTCGTACGCGTCGTCGCAAATAATCTGATAAATTAAACTGTCCGTGTCCGTGTACAAAATTCTGCATCTTTCTTGAAAATTTGGAAGCATGTAGCCATAATGAAAATCATACAAATGTAATTTTGATATGTCCAGCACCGACATGCCTATGTAAATAGGTTTATAAAATTTAATGGAAAGCCGGTTCATTTGAATCGCGACAAAATCTTCGGAGAATACGGTACAGCTATGAAAATTTGGTCGGAATATTAAACGTTCTGCACCATGTCGACCGCTCCATCGCGAGAGCAACTTTACGTTCTCATGATTTCGAACGTTCTCCATCATTTTTCCAAACACTGCATTGTTCATTAGTTTGAACAGATTCTTCGAGAAGTCATTGTTTGCGTTGGCGCGCAACCTCGTATTTAAATCTATGTAACAGCGTAACCAACATGATTGTTCAAACTTCAGTATCCGATGAATTGTCTTTAATTTTAAATTATACCTCGAACATTGCTGGAGGTATCGATAATGGAGAACATAACGATTATTATCGCTAAGCGTTGTCAATAGTTTCTTTTGCAACGCCCCAATCTCGTGAATCGGGCAAAATGGAAAATCTGCGTGAGAATCATGAATTTCCTGAGGATACTCTAACTCGACCTCTAAAATGTACTCGACGGGACTGTCGATCGGCACGGAATCGATGTTGAAATTACTCATATTGTCAACCCATTGGAAACCCCGGTGCGGCAAAGACTGCGACATAGCCCAGCCATACAAATTATTAACATCGAAATACATCAGATAGCTGGACGGTTCGGCCGAATCGTACGTCGACATATACTTGTTATTCGCGCGCGCGTAACGATGCGAACATTGACTCAACCCACCTCGTATTCCCCGCTCCACGAACAAAAGCATGTCAACGTCGGTGAACAATTCCAACTCGATCTTCGTCAATTTTAGCATCGCGTCCCACGCGAAACCGGGCAACGTATAATAGTGCGCTGGATCGAGTTTATAATTCTCGAGCGACTTTTCGCGATAATTTTCAAACACGTCGGCCAACAACAACATCCAATTTTAAGTACAAGTCACTGTACTGTCCTAATGTTTGTATACCGAAACGTGACCAAACTTCGTTCGCGTGACAATAGTCGACGTCGGATATCTCGCTGTCGCATAACTGATTATAAAATGCTT